TCCCTCTGGATGGCAGTGCAGCCCTCTGGGGTATCAGCTACTCCTCCCCGTTTGGTATCATCAGCAAACTTGCTGAGGGAGCACTCTGTGCCTTCATCCAGGTCATTGATGAATAAATTGAACAGGACTGGACCAAGGACTGACCCCTGGGGGACCCCACTAGCCACAGGCCTCCAACTAGACTCTGCACCGCTGATCACCACTCTCTGGGCCCTGCCATCCAGCCAGTTCCTAATCCATCTCACTGTCCACTCATCTATCCCACACTTCCGGAGCTTGCCCAGGAGGATGTTGTGAGGGACGGTGTCAAAAGCCTTGGTGAAGTCGAGATAGACGACATCCACCGCTCTCCCCTCGTCTATCCAGCCGGTCATTTCATCATAGAAGGCTATCAGGTTAGTCAGGCAAGATTTCCCCTTGGTGAATCCATGCTGACTACTCTTGAGCACCTTCTTGTCCTCCATGTGCCTGGAGACAACAGCCAGTATGAGCCGTTCCATCACTTTTCCGGGGACGGAGGTGAGGCTGACTGGCCTGTAGTTGCCTGGGTCCTCCTTCTTGCCTTTTTTGAAGACTGGCGTGACATTGGCCTTCTTCCAGTCTTCCGGCACCTCCCCCGTTCTCCAGGATCTTTCAAAGATGATGGAGAGCGGCTTAGCTATGGCATCTGCCAGCTCCCGCAGCACTCTGGGGTGCATCCCATCAGGGCCCATGGATTTGTGGGTATCGAGGTTCCTTAGGTGCTCTCTGACCCAGTCTTCCTCTACCCAGGGCAAGTCTTCCTCTCCACCCGCTTCTTCTCTTGCCTCTAGGGCCTGGGGCTCTAAAGGGCTGCCCTTGGTAAACACCGAAGCAAAGAAGGCATTGAGCAACTCTGCTTTTTCTGTGTTATTTGTAACCAAGGTGCCCATCCCGTCCTCCAGCGGACCCACGTTTTCCCTGATCTTCCTTTTGCTGTTAATGTATTTGAAGATTTTTTTTTTGTTATTTTTAACGTCCCTTGCCAGCTTGCCTTCCAGACGTGCCTTAGCTTTCCTTGTCGCATCTCTGCACTCCCTGACTACGTTCCTGTATTTCTCCCAGGGGGTCTGTCCTTTTTTCCACATTCTGTATACCGCTGCCTTCTGCTTGAGCATTGCCACAAGCTCCCGGCTCATCCACGCAGGTCGCCTGCCCCCTCTGCCTCCCTTCCTACACACAGGGATGCACTGTTGCTGGACGTGGAGGAAGTGCCGCTTGAAAACTAACCAGCTCTCTTGGGCCCCCCTTCCTTTTAGAGCACTAGCCCATGGGATTCTACCGAGGAGGTCTCTGAAGAGGCTAAAGTTGGCCCTCCAAATAATAAGCTGCTGCCGATTTTTCTGTTAAGTACCTTCAAAACCGTTATTCCGAAAAAAAAAAAAGGAAAAATATCAGCACGAAAAAGTATAACTTTGTAGGATTATAAAATGAAATAAGGAAAGGAGAGGGGGGCGCCGCCGGAGCCGCCCCCGCGGGCTACGTGACGCGGCGGCCGCGGGGGGGCGCGTGCGCGCGCGGGG